GGAAGAGAAGATGAGTCGTTTTGAGGGGGAGGGGAGGTTACCGTTTTTGATTAAAGATTACGAGGGCACATGAATTAAAAAAAATAATGAAGTGCACGGATAAATTATTTATAATAAACACTACAGTATTCCATTAAAAAGTAAGAAGTTTCAATTTTGATTTCATGGTGACTTTAAAGCTTTTCAAAATATTTTCCAAAAAAAAAAAGACATCAACAAAACTATCTAGTTTTTATCTATTTCAACTTCAGTTGAATTGTCTAAAACAATGAAAGCTAAATATAGCTCAAATTATCGGACCAAAAACCTGTAACTTGGAAACATAACTTTGAGCCTAGTTATTAAGAATTATAAAAGTTTTTGGACATATTTTTATCCTCTAGGTGTCGTATTCCTATAGGTAGATGGGGATCAGCTGAGAGTCAGCTGATGCGAGCTTGACTAACGTGACCTGCCAGAACTAACGCTACGCTTGATTGTCACCAAACTAATGTTGCCCATTTTGCAATAAGAAGTTTCAGCATCAGGAAGCACGACAACAGACCACCCACAGTACCTTTACTAAGTGTCTGATGCATATTGCACCTTTGGTTCTGTAAAAGTTTAATATGACTGGCTGGCTTCAAAAGCAACTTCAAAGAATAAGAGCAGAGAGGAACTGGGTTGACATTATGAGTGTTTTTGAGGAAAATCAAATCGCTGGATTTGACAAAATTTGTAAAGTTAGTTGCATAATTTCTTCTAAGAATAATCAGAGTTTTGTTTTTACAAAAGTTTTGCTGTTTTTTATCTTTATGGAGTATTCTAATTTGTTGAGATAGTGAGTTGGTGGGTTTTTGTTAAATGTGAGCCAAAATCATCACAATTAAAAGAACCAAAGACTTAAACTACTTCAGTCTGTGTGCATTGAATTTATTTAATACACGAGTTTCACAATTTGAGTTGAATTACTGAAATAAATGAACTTTTCCACGACATTCTAATTTATTGAGATGCACCTGTATAATCACTATAATAAACCTGATTTTGGTTATGTAATGAATAGTTTAACATATATATATATATTTTTTTTTTTTTACTAAATGTGAACAAAATAGCTGTTGTGGGTGATGAGTAATGTGTACATACAGACTGATCTAACCTTACCCAGATAGCACACGTATGTCTGCAAGATGTCTGTTAAAGATCGCTTCATCTGAAAAGCATCTGCTGTGTACAAACATCTGATAGACGTCTTTAAGATGTCATACATCATAAACATCTTAAAGACATCTTCTAAACGTCTTTTTGACATCTGATAGCAAACATCCTATAGACGTATTGCAGATGAGCAAACACTCTAAAAAATATGTCTTGCAGATGTAAATGCAGGCGTCAAATAGAATT